TCTGCTTTATGTTTAGAGTTTAGAAGAGGCTCTGGCATTCTGTATCTTTTTCAGTTAATTCTCGTTTATTCTGTGACGGAAACACTCCTAGGATTAGCAGGTACAAAGTTGATAGGCTGGTGGGACTACAGGTGGGTATGGATATGACGGGTATATATATATATATATATATATATATATATATATATATATATATATATATATATATATATATATATGGCGCTAAGGTCAGGGACTAAAAAGTGAATGTCACTGAGGCTGCGTTCCTTCGGATAACAGCCAAACGCCACGAGAGCCAACCACTCTCCCGTCTATCGCCCGACGAGAACATCAGCCCAGTCACAAGATTTTCGACGAAATTTGTCGCCGATGGCCCACAGGCACTGCCGGTTCCAAAGGTGACTGATTGGAACTGAAACCGCTGAGTAAGGCTCGAGCCTTTTCGGAGATTTCTTCATTCGCTTTCTTTAGTTGTGGCACCAGCGGCTGTGAGGGAAGGGAATAAGGCTGGAGATGGCAAACTTATTGGTGCATGTGACAGCCCACACCAGGCTCCTACCATGGGTAAACGGGAACATGGCCATCCCGTCGGACCTTGTACCGTCTCCCCGGTCGTTGCCAGTGGGTTCCAGGGCAGGTGGGATTCCTACCGCCTGTAACGCGCGCCTAATCACGTCTTTGAGTGCTGTATGTCTGGGCAGTTGTCATGCCCTCTAGGCAGATGTCATGCCCTCAAACGACACTGTCAGCGCGCGAGGCCCATACCGTCCACCTCTAAGCCGCGTCTGCATTGACGTGGTCGACAAAGTCGGCGCCTACGCGGAGGGAAATCGCGCTCCGCAGCGTGTTCTTGTACAGCTGTATTCCAAGCTTGCCAGATGACATGGGGTGGAGCCGAACGCCGCTTTCCTGAGCCGCCGCGCTCCGTAACCTAGCTTGGCCGGTTGAATCCTCGATGCCCAGCAAAGATCCGAGGAACCGCCCCGCTAGGGCTGCCATGCCTTTGCACCCCTGGTCCCTGTATGCATCGGCGCTCCACTCTGCGGTGTGCCAGTCGCTCACAGGAGCATGGAGGCCCGTCACTACATTTGATGCGGTGACCCAGGCAGCATCAAGTTCAGGAGCTGTACGCCGTGGTGGAGTGATGCTACATAGCTAGGGAGCGCCGGATCTGTTGTGCGCCGCAGTACCCGGCTACCGTATCTTATCGGCAGCATCGCTTGTCCCTGCTAAAATCACCAAAAGGAACATTGGCTATTGCGCGTGCTGCATATCTGACGATCTAAATTTCAGCTTGACACGTGCTGGCTGTCTGCAAAATGACGCTGCCCGTGATATGCATTGCAGTGTTGGAATTCATAAACGGCTCTTAAGAAGGAAGAACGCTAAATGAAGATCGAGGTGTCGTAAACGGCCAGTCATGTACTCCAGATCCCCTCTCTTCCAATTCGTCACGCTCTGCATTGCTTGATCAGTCAGTTGCGCTCCTGGAATCGTCGCTCCGGCCATATCCCCAGCACCTGCTTCGGGAATAACTGCGTGGGGCTTGTGTACATTCGCGATCCTTGACGGATCGTCACCCTGATCTGGCAATATTACCTCACATTTCCCGGAGGTGACCTCCAACTCAACGTCTGACAGTTCCGGAATGAGGCACTCCAGATCCCGGCAAACGGAGTTGATATCGCCGCTTATAGGTGCATCATGCCATGCCATGAATACCATGAATAAGCTGTGTGCTGTATGCTGTAGTGGCATGCTGCATTGAGATGCATACTGTTGTATGTTGTAGTTGTTTGTTGCGTTGAGTCGCATGCGGTCGTGTGCTGTAGTTCTTGTATGTTGTAATGAGTGTTGGATCTTACTTGTTTCCAGATTGTGTACGTGGCGCGTAACCCGAAGGACACAGTCGTAAGCTACTACCACCACAACCTGCTCTTCAAGGGACTCTACGAGTTCCGGGGAGACTTCAAAACCTTCGTAGACCTCTTCATGGCCAATATCTGTAAGAAAATAGTTAAAGGTAGTGTTTCACACTTGAAGATATTGAAGCAAGCGATTGATAGGATGAAAGCCGCCCACTCATAACTATCGGTATATTTTAAGTAGAAAAGATTGCTCTAGACAATGCAATTTCTCTTTGTAGTAAACATGCTCCCCAATGTCATTGTTTGAAAATGTCTTGTGCCTTGCACAATATTGATTCAGGGCCAATAGACAGCCATTATAACTGGAAATCGTGCTCAAGAACGTCCAATATGAACGGCTCGACAATTATGTTTTTTGGCTTTTGATCCCCGCATGACCAATGGAATGGCAGGATTTGAATGACGTTATTACGGCGTCATGGATGGCTGGGTGACCTTGACAATAAAACTAGACGGGTTTAGGTCTTAGAAGGGCGGGGCTGTAAACCTCACCGAAGGATCTTTGAGATGGGTATTTCAGTTTAAAGCCTCATACAAATGTGGAACACTCCCTCTAGACCATTGACGCGAAACTCATGCATGTTCCATTTGCATGCTTACAACCTGCAGGGTAGTTACATGTTCGCCAGTTTATAATTGCCTCGTGGAGTGCAAGTTGTTTGCAGTCACGAACATAAGCCAACCTTTAAAAACACGTTACCGGGCCCAAAAACCAGACCTGCAACAGAAAGTTGGCGTGTTTGTTGTCCAGTTGAATGTGTTAAGGCCGCAAAGATTGATTGCTATCGTACTAATCATCTCGCAGTTTCCAAAGCGCTTGAGACGTGCAAAATTTTCAAAACCTTGCATACGTGAACCGTCTTAAAATCCGACTAGACGTGCAGAATCGGGCCGGTGTGCCGCAGTCAGGCTACAGTTATGCCATGTCACTCCATCCGGTCCCCGTCTGCGTCACCACAAGCGCGTGGCGGTCTGTCTGGTTTAGTGGGTGGTACTGATAGTGGGCGGTGCTGATAGTGAGTAAATCGCTGATACTTTGTGCTAGTTCGCGCGCACCCAGGTCTGAACGGGCGTGGGCGCGCGCGTGAGCTGGAAGGGATCTTGCTCAGCGCAAGGCTCGGTGGTGTTTATACTTTTGCGTCTAGGTGCGCGCAAACACGGCTCACACCTGAACCTGAGGCAGCTGTCACCCTCCATCCCTTCTTCCACACTCATGCTCTTGACAGTCCACTGGCAGCTGACTGGCAGAAGTGGAAGCACGGGAGAAATAGATGGTTTAAGTGCCACACCGCAAAATGCCTCGCACCTTAAGAGAGTTAAGTCGAGTAGAAATGCAAGAAATGGTTGAAAAAGATAGCACGTGCTAGATAGATGGCAAAGGCCGCTCATCGTAAAATATATCACACCGTAAGGAAGTTGGGTCCTAGACGGAGTCCCCCACGCAGTGATATCCTCTGGTGATACGGCTCTGTCTACCTCCTTCCATAGGTGCAAATTCCGTGCTTGAGGGCATTGCATCAACGGTTATCGCTTCAACAGCCAAACCCCTCCCTTTTGCGTGCGGGTCAATTTTTTATGGATGTTGTTAACCTTGGTTGTTACATATGCCTGTCCATGGATGGTAGAAGTTGATATGTGTGCGTCTCTATACTGGTTGGGGGCACTTTCAATCGGTAGCGGCCCTAGCCTGAAGGTTGAGATGACATAGCACTTACAGCTTTTTAGCAGATGGGCCATTCTGCCGAAGGTGCCTTGCCAAGGTGCCTTGCGAATTAACACGATCATGGCAACAGTGAGCATTATCCGAGGTGCCGGGCCTTCATTCCCGCAGCCCCGCTGACACGGAAGTCGTCCGAGTGTGTTTATGCTCTCAGAGATGAGGTTATATCTGGGTTATGCCTGAGGGGATTTACACATTCCTCCTCAGTCGTGCCTGCTGCACGTTCCTAATAAGATCCACCCATCCGTTAACATTGCCGTAACGTTACCGTCACCAGTTCTTTTTTTTTGAGCATTCTTGTTTTAAATTACAGATGAGTTTCAGTTATGCTTAACCCAAACTTGCCATTTTGCGTTGTAAGTTGCAGAAGTAGAGTGAGTGCAGCTAGCTATGACTAAAAAAACGCAACCAGTAAAGTTGTGCGCTATTTTTTTAGGCATTTACTGGTCATTTCCCAACTGCCCTTCCCCACACCCGTACCTGTGCACGTAACTTTCCCGAAATCTATGCGCAACCCAACCCGTCGCCCATTCCATATGGGTGTCCATGGATTTACCCAGGCCGTTAAGTCCGTAATCGTCCTCCCACATCGCCCCCGCTCCTGCAGCATCCCTCGGCTAGGAGCCTGGAATCCGGTCCCGGACAGCACCAACCGGGCTGTTCGCGGTTAGCCAGGAAAGCAAGTGACGGTCACGGGTACTGTTAAGCCATGCCATCAGTCGACCGCGCTGCACGCATCAAAAGCCTAAATTAACGGCAGGGCCAGCATTCTGATGCATTGGTATTTTGGATGAGTTGCGGGATGCCCATCACGGTATCATGAACATAGGGGATAGCTCTTTCAAAATTGCATACATGAACTGATGGATCTGCACTGAAAGAGTAGAGAAATGCCGGATGTTTCAAACCATGTCAAACTTCCCTTGTTCGTTACACTGTACACCGGCTTAACACTGTTAAGATGCTTAGCAAAGGCCGGAATGTCGTAAACTTTAATCAAGAACCAAACACAGGGTCTGGTATGGTGTTTGTTACCCTTAAAGGATGCATCATGCAATACTACGGAGTAAATACCTCATATCAAAGCGGTGATGCGGTATTTATTTCGCGCTGTAGCACGATATATGCTTCTTAGGAAAACAAACACCGTTTTAAAACAGCCGTCAAGGAACAGGTAAAACACTGTCATCCATGATAATAAGAGCTTCAAACCTTGGGTGCTGTGGATATAACCAATATTTGCTCTACATCGTCATTCATCCAAACCCTCCTGGCATATTGAAGGTCGATAACTTAAAAAAGAGCTTTGAACTCATGAATCTCCTTATAAAGACACGTTTTAGCAAAGAAGTATTTTAAAAGCATGCTTTAGTACCCTCGTCCACCTCATGTTGACCAACCACGAGGTCGGTTGGCACAGAACGATCTTCCCGACAAACAGGGCCCCACGAAATCTTCCCGAAGGCACCTTTTGCAGCGAAGGCATGCTTTAAAGCCATACCATGCGCTGACGGCTCTTGCGGCCGGCCAGCGGATGTGATCACTCACCCGGTTTATAATACGGGTCTTATGCGGGATGGCCGCGTTCAATCACCTGGGCAAGCGTGTCTCAAGGCCGCTAAGAAAATTATCGTTGTTCTGAAAATGTAGTGCGAGCCTCGTCGCTTTTTGTTTTCCCGGGTGGTGACAAAGGTATGAAAATGACCCTAACGATAAAATGAAACTCTCATCGTACGAGAGGGAGGCGATACCATATTTCGAATTATGATTTTATCAGATTAGAGATAAACCGCAGGATTCTACATGGGATAGCTCGTTCACGCCCACTGTACATGAAGGCTGAAACATCCTATATGATGACAGGAAACAAAATGAAATGCTCTCGTTGCAAGCAGATTTTCGCTGCGCAGCAAATAATACGTGGTCGTCCAGGCAATGCGCTGGCGGTGCATAGGAATGCTGCACCACCGTCACGTCTTGTTTCCGACGCGCCATTTGAGCTTCAGCCTTCCAATTGCTTGTCAGCAGTTGTGGCAGTGCCTCACTTTTCCGAAGCACCGCGCAGGGTTTTGGGCGGTGCCGTCTGACGCCGCGCCCCGTCTTCCGAACCGACGGATTGGGCGGCATCGGGAGTGGTGCAGGAGGGCACCGCTCCGGAGGGGTGGGAAAACAATGCTACACCCGCGCACCACACGTCCACACATCGTCCACGTCCGCGCACCGCGCACAGACGTCCACACATCTACAGATCAAAGTGAATGCCAAACCAGATTCAAGGGGCAAAGACTGGTGACACCGTGACGTTGGTATCTTACTAGCAGTGCGGGATGTTGTACACGTTTCGTCACGGGACACGCAGGATCCAGGCCAGAGGTCGGTGCTGTGTGCCATGGGGGATGACGTGGACGTGACGGTTTTTGCAGTGCCCTGGTGCCCGTACTGGGAGAATCTGAGGCAGGCCTGGAGCCGGCGGCACCACCCCAACATGTGCTTTATCATGTACGAGGACATGAAGGAGGTAAGGTCTACATTCTACTTTATTTCCCCGCATGTAGAATACGGCATATGTAATATCAGACTTGAAATGGAAGAAAACACGGGTGCTAATCGGCCACAGGAACGCGCCCTTCACGATTTCTTACATTACAAATAATCATGCTTTAATAACGGTGATCACCACGGGAGCCTGACGAAAAACCGACGTTTCGCGGTGACGAACCAGCGACTGACATTTCGCGGTGACGAACCAGGGACTGACGCACCATACACCATTTCCGTAAGAATGCGCTGGTAAAATCGAACCAAAGATCGCACATGATAATGATATGAGACGAATAAAGTATACTTACATAGTAATGGTACGCATTCTTAGTGAACAGCAAATGCTTCATTCACTCCAGTTCGCCCGGTACTTGGGGGCTTAGGCTTTGGTGGACGAAATAAATTATGTTGGCCATCAGCAGCGCCAAAGCCACGCCGTCACGCACACAGTGAATTCGCTGGATCCATTCAAACTGAGCGATTAGCTGCCAGCAGACTTTGGTCGTGACCATAGTTGACCATAGCTGCTCAGGATATCCACGAGCTGCTGAAACTGGTGATCGAATCAAACTGTATTCATCTTTAATGATTCATGGTACGCTTAGAGTGACCTATGCGCACTTTTAATTGTCACGTGGTCCCACACTTCGCAGTCGGCAGACTATTTTTATGATAAGCTCCAAAGCTGGCACCCCCTATGTTTCACTTTCAGAGCCTGTCCAAATAGCACTAATCCTTGGTTTAGACAGGCGACTGGCGAAGCGGCCTGGTGAATATAGTTCCTGACAGCTAAGACCGGTGCTTAGTTCTTTAAACATGTTGCCGACCCTATCAGTCCAAGACCTTGTAGTCCATGCTCCCGGCTGGTAAGTTACAGGCCAAAGACAAACACGTTCGCCGTTCAAACATGAAGCAAACATTTGTGTTGTACTTCGGTTAGTTCGCCTCAACCAGAATCTGGCAAGCATGAAAAGTGCAATTAACTGAGATTTTATTCGTACTTCAATAAATCAACGTAATTTTCAAGACGGGTGGGGCACCGCATGAGTATGCTACAGCATACAAGCCTTGTTAGTCTCGGAGTGAAGCGTTTAGTTGGCTGGTATTGATTGGTACGGACACGCTTGACCGCGACACCAGCATGAAGAAATCAAGGCAAAAACCCAAACGAAGCAATCGGGGCACGGTCCTGTGCACAGCCAGAGCGAGACGCAGATGTTGGACTCCTCATCATGACGTCAAGCCATGCACTGCGAGAGCACTGTCACGTTCCGCGGCGAGGCGGGCACAGCTAGGCCCTGCGGGGCCGACCACGGCGCGACGACACAGCACCTGTCGCGCGCCCCGCCGCTGTCCGCCCCACATAGCCAGCAGCCGTCACTGCTCGTACAGCGGCGGGAAGGGCAGCGCCTCACTCGGCTGCAGCCAGTTGTCGGCCGCGTACTGGGTGTCCTGTGTCTCCACCACGTGGAATGTGTAGATGTGCCGCGAGCGCGTCGACCGGTTCGCGCTGCTGCAGTGGTGCACGCGCCCGCTGATGAACACACAGTCGCCGCGGCGCACCTCCTCCGGCACGAAGGCGGCCTGCTCCAGCTGCGTCTGCTCGCCGCGGAACACCAGGCGCGGCCCGCTTGGGTCTGGGTTGCGCACGAAGCGGCGCGTTAGCGGGTCGCGATGCGAGCCGGGCGCGAACCAGAGGCAGCCGTTCTCGCGATCGGCGTCCTCCAGCGCTATCCAGAGGCCGACGATCTTCTCCGGCTCCGTGTAGAGGAAGGTGGCGTCCTGGTGCGGCGTTACTTCGCCACCGATGCCCGGCTGCTTGAAGATGTACATCGACTGCGCCACGACGGGCGCGGCGAAGCCCAGCGCGCGGAAGCAGGCGCGCACGCGCTCGCTGAACGTGACGCGTCGGAACTCGGGCACCAGCCAGTGCAGCGCGTGACCGATCTTGTTGATGCCTAGCGAGCGGTCGACAGTGAGCTGGCCTTTCTCGTCGATGGCGCCCTCCTCCCAGAAGAACCGTACCTTGTCGCCGCTCTGCAGGAAGTAGTCGTCCTTGGCGCGTAGACTGATCTGGCGGTCTTCGACGGTGGAGAAGACGCTGATCTGGTGCTCGTTCGGGTTCATCTCGTCAACGATGCGGGCGCGGGCAGACTCCAGTGAAGTCACCTCGTCCTCCGAGAGGAAGCCCTTGATGACGACGTAGCCGTCATTCTCAAACTGCTGGAGTTGCTCACTAGTCAGCATAGCGGATCAGTGCGCGAGAGCGCGACTCTCTTCAATCCTCACCTCTCCCCGACCTTCTCGTCGGCAGCACACGGCCCCGACCGCCGGATCTGTTCTCGGCCTTCTGCGACCACAGCCTTCCCGGAAATGCACCGTCTGGTGGGCCTGGTCGGGGCGCGGGCAGAAGCGACTCGAGACTCTGTCGGCGCCGCAGTGCGGCTAGCAGACAGCCCCGCACGGTCCCACAGAGCCGAGCGCGGCGCTGGGAGCGCCCCTGGTCGGAGGGTCGGTGGTGATGTTTATGTATTGTAGAGACACGGCCAGGCTTCCACGCCGCTCGTAGGATATGGATGCGCGTTGGTGTAGGAAGCTGCGGGTAGCCCGTGAGCGAAAGTGCCTAATCCAGAAGTGGCGTATGTTAATTGGGAAGAAGTGAAGCATTTGGATTTTGGAGTTTAATGTATAACATTATAGTATATTAAAGTGGACGAGACAGGGCCCCGGGGCTTCTTCCCCTCCCCCCCCCCCCCTCTCTCCCATCTGGTTACACCCATGACCGTGCGACTCATCTGTCGGTGTCCAATTCTGGTGCCCTGCTGTCGCCTTTGTCGCTCTGTCCAAACACAGAAATGATCAGAGTGTTTGTGTCCGAGAGGACGTCTGAAAAATGTCACAGCTAAGCCTGGCTCTTGTCCGATTTTCGTGCGGGCTGTGACATCTTAAAAGATATATAATTCCTGAACCCTTGAAATGAACGAGGGCTGGGATAAGAACCCACGTTAAGCAGTGCCTGCTGTGCGAGTTCTGACCCCTATCATTTAAGCGTGCAGTGCCTGATCAACGCAGAATTTAGTGTTGAGCTTAAGCGTGTCGCAATGCTCGGCACAGCTCGTCCTGCCCTCTGACGTCACCTGACCTTAAGAGAGGCCGCTGCCACCGTTCGAAGGCCTTACATCAAAGGTAATTCGGGAGAAACACCGAAACATGGACATTCACACACATCTGAGCACAGAACATCACGCAATCCTGTGCGCGCCTTGGAAATACCCTGAACGCATGCGTCGGTCTCCACGTCTCATGAACATCTTCGCCGATCATTCGATCAGGAGTGCTCGGAGTGCAGCGCTGGGCCCGGTCGGACCTGGCAGGGGAGAGAGTGTCCGTTAGTCATGACCTGCGACCGTTAGTGAGACCTGCGGCGACCTGAGCCGCTCTACTGCGGCTTAATGTCGCGGGAGGGGTCACAGTGCTTTCAGTGTTTTTGTTGTTGGTCACATAGCCATGCGTCACTCAGCTCTAGCTGGGTGTGTCCAGGTTACAAACGAGCGCGGAAGTAAGCACGGTCTTACGAAGGCAACAGTCCAGCCGCAGTCGATAGCGGCGCAGCATGAATACATATATCACAGACGAAGGGAACAATCCGAAGCCACGTGCTGCGTTCCCAGCCTCCTTGGTGCACATGTCCGCTGCCGACGTCGCGCTGAGGGCTGAGGGCCAGATATATCAGCGACCCAAGGGCGTCGATAGCGCACCGTTGCCAGGGGATGCGCGAGCACATCTACTCCCGGGTCCGCGCTTGACCTTGGCGGGGTCACGGCCTAGGACAACCTCTGACCCTGGGGCCACGGCTGGTCACGACCGACACATTCGTCTCGAGTGCGGAGGCTCGACAAGGTCTCTTAAGTTCTGTTCTCTCGAAAACAGAACATCTCCTCGAAAGTCCAAGGATTGCTTTGTCACGCATGCGTTTCAAGACGGCGTTGGTGAACAGAGCGGTGTGAGACGGTGTTGCGCGAACTGGACCGGTGTGAACCGAGACGTCGTTTGCGCACGGTGCGGCACATCTGTTGGCTTAGGAATAGCTAGTAAGCCGTGATGAAAGCCGTGACACAGCCAGCGATGTGTATAAAAGCGAAGCCCTTCCGGCCATGCGAGGCACACTGACGGGTGGCCAGTATGGTGTTGAACTGCTTGTTCGTGATTGGCCGATAAGGTAACTACCAGCCCGTTCTACGCTAGCAGTATAAAACAAGAATCTATTTTCGTAACAAACGTGAAATGCAGGAAGACGGGGATTTACGGAGGCAGAGCTCGTCTGCGGCCGTTCGGTCCCTCAAAATAGCCTGGTAATTTTCCTTCGGAGGCAATTTGTGTCAGCATGTACTTTTTGGCCATTTTAGTCTGCAAATTCGGCTTCATGCGGCCAAATTGCGCAGTAGCGCAAACGTGAAACGGCAGACAGGTAAATAAGAACGAAACAAAAACGCTTCGGGAGCAAAATTCGTCGGCTACGTTAATATACCTGAAACACTCCATGTTTTTTTATTCCGTTTGTTCCATGATTTTCGTGCATTTCAGACGTGGTATTAAAATGGGCCCCTGTCAACAACGATAGCCTGAGAGCGTAGGGGACACCATTATTCGGGCTGAAGGTTATTGTAACTGTTACAGTGTCACGGAAAACAGAGTAACGCAGGCGAGAATCCCACTCGGAATGAGGTGGTGCAAGCATGCGAGTGCGTGCGTGCGTGCGTGCGTGCATGCATGCTTGTGCGCGTGTGCACGCGTGTGTGTGCGTGCGGTCGTGCGTATGGCAGAATGGTGCGCACAGGGGATAATTAAGGGGGAGAATGGCACCAGGCCCATGCTGTACCACTTCGTTTTCATGCTTCTGGTACTGCCCCTTTGGGATGTTGCGTTGCAGAAGTCATCAACAGACTTGCAGTGCCTGCCCTCCTTGAAAGGTGTTCGTAACTGACAGTTGAGCTCTCCACTGCGTCCGGTCCCGTCAAGGCCTGGGTCTCACACCTCGCCGGCGTCCGCAGGACCTGCTGGCTGTGGTGCGCAAGGTGTCCGCCTTCCTGGAGAAGGACCTGACCGAGCAGCAGGTCACAGACCTCTGCGAGCACCTCAGCTTCAGCTCCATGAGCAAGAACGACAAAGTCAACCGGGAGGTGTACCGGGACGTCATCATGGACGAGAACAAGAAGGAGAACAAGTTCATCCGGAAAGGTGAGCACCGGGAGGGGACGGCGTCTGAGGTGGGATCGACCCTCAGTCTGGGGAATGTCTTGGGGGATGGGAATAGAAGTTCATCTGCATCTGTATTTGTAACGCGCTGCTTCCAGCCAGTCAGGATGGACTTTTAGTTGCTTTATTTTTGGAACCTAATTACTCATTATGTTCCAAAAAACCGACCAGAAAACGTTATTTCGTTATGAGCCAACACTTAAGCCTTTGCTTTATATCAGACCATTGCCAGATTCATCAACATAACTCTTTCACAGGGCAAATCGGTGACTGGAAAAATTACTTCGACGAGGATCTGAACAGGCGATTCGACGCCTGGATCCAGGCCAACAGCCACGGCATAGATATAGAGTTCAAATACGAATAATATGTGAGCTGGTCAGAACAGATGGCGCTGGTAATGCTCCAGCGCAGTGGGAAAGACACCGAATATGGCGGTGAATGCGGCGCCCGAATCCACCAGCGCACATGCTGAAGCCAGGCCTGGCAACGCGCGTCTCGCCAAGTGCCCGAGAGGAAGCCACCACCCGCCCTAGGTCATGCGGGCTGAGAAGGACACCCCACCGGAGAACAGACCGTTGAGAGCTGGGACCACGGACTGCTATGGACTTGAAAACATACCTCGTGCCAACTCGGGGCACTTAGGCAAATAGAACATGGAACGGTGCAGTGGGAACGTGAAATGAGCACTGCAAATGAGGACAATACACACCCGAAACGCAAACGACTGTGCAGCAACAGCGGACGCTTCCAGTCGCATACTACTGTGCGTTGTTCGTGTACCGTGCTAGTGGACAACAGTGTATCTGGTACCTGTCTGTTTCGTGAGTGCATGCGTCGCTGGATAATCGCTCTACCCATTAGGAACGAGACTGGTGTCTGGCAGTATCTAGATGACGAGGTGCAGGAGAACCAAGTGTGACGCAATGTGAAAACAGTATTCGGACCGGGGAAAATACTACCCCAAGCAATGTTCTTGATGTCAACATGCCGGCAGAGGGTTCGTGTCAAACACCATGTGCTACAAAAAAATAAATTGCAGGCAGTGGCACGTGCACATGCCTTGGACGGTTGCGGTCATTTCCCGGCGATACTCTGGCACAGTGATGTCCAAAAGCACGGAGTCGAGGCTGGAGCGCATGAATCCTTTGTCGGAACAGGAGTCCACCTCTCACGGATCGAATGCTTGGGCGCCAACTCAGCCCAGATATGTCGTGAGTCGATGAGACAACAGCTGCGAGTTCAAGCGTGACGAAGTTAGAAGAAGGTACCTGTTCTGAATTTTTGGGGACTGCTTGATCGAATCCATCTGCTTCCTGTTCATGAGGTGCATGCACGTTTCTTATCTCATTATTTTCCCGCCATGACGCCCTCGGTGCGTGCGTGCGTGCTGTCTGGTTGGATTAAATGCTCCGACAACTCCGTCTTATTACTTCACTGATCTCTGGTTCCTTGCGACCAAAAAGGCCCCGGGCCGAACAGCCGGCATGAAAGAAGTAACTAAACGTGACTGTCCGAACACTTCGTCAACCAAATAGTATACGCAGGCCGTTGACATCAAATAAGTACGTGGAAAATGGGTGCACACTGCTTGAATAGGTAAAAGATAGATTGAATCAAAGAGTCCCTTAAAAAGTCAGAGTGCATCGAACTTGGGCGCTGCACCACTGGACACCGGGATTCTGAACGTACTGGACAATGGATCGACTTTTGCACTGCTACAGCGCGTAGATCGGAAGAGAGAGAGAGAGAGCGGAACCGGGCATAGCAAGATGTATCTCCGGTATTGATGGTTGTTCGGCGGACTCGCATGAAAAAGGTCAAACTATTACTTCTATTAACACGCCCTCGGTGGGGACTCAAACTGCCCCCCCCCCCCCATCCCGAAGGTTTTCCAGAATGGTTTCCGAACGGTGCGGCGTAGCCGCGCCAAATTTTGCATAGCTGTAGACAATTGAATAGCAAATCATTTGACAAAAAACTGAGATATACCTTGTAAGGTCGCTGACCTATGGCAGGTCAAAGTCAGGCCATGGTTTCAGCGAAGGCAATTTCTAGGAAATCCTTCAATCTAATCCAACAGCGGAGTGTTAGACGAAGCCATACATCTCTGAGATGCATTCGTAGGCAATACAACAGTTGAATGAGCAAATTACATTGACCTAAGGTCAGGTATGAAGGTCACACCAAAGTCTAAACCAACCTGTTTTTTTACTCTAGGGCTCGCTGTATGGGATAATTCCTGGTGCTCATTTCGAATTTATTGATAGCAGGCAGTGCCTTATACATCTTCCATGGAATTCGTTAAGGTCAAAATAGGTAATTGACCTAAAATGATCTAAAATGATCCAGGTCAACGTTTTATTTGGGAACATACTGCAAAGCGTAATCTTTGTCGCTTAGTCAAATGCAAAACTCAAAGCAACCTTGTATGTTTTTGGTCACCTTGACCTTAAAAAAGGTCAAAACAAGGTCACTGACCTTGAATGAGAATGTGACCTTTTGCTCAGAAACGGTTATCTAGGTTCTGGGACACTTTGGAGACCAGCCTGGAACTTGACCTTGTTTGACCTTTTTGACCCAAAGATCATGGCCTAGGAACCTGAAACTTTGACCTCAGTGAGTTCACGTACAGGTTAACACACCCTGTAAATTTAGCGCCTCTAGCTCTCTTAGTTACCGAGATCTCAGGGGGGTCAAATTGACCCCACCACCCGAGCGAAGGGTATGTGGCCGGCCACCCGGGCGCGTGTTAACACGCGATCGGGTGGGGTGAGAGGATCATACTGACGTTTTTCGTTTTTACGTTTAAAGTTTTTCCCGAATTATTTCCGAATGGCGCGGCGTAGCCGCGCCAAACTTTGCATAACTTTGGAGAATTAAATAGTCGCTATTTTGATGCGAAAAAACTAGATGCACCTTGAAAGCTCACTGGTCTATGGCAGCTCAAATTCAGGACATGACTGTTAGCGAAGAGCATTTCTAGGGAAATGTTTAATGTGATGCACCAACGAAGTATTAGATGAAGCCATACATAACTGTGATAGTTTCTTAGGCAAGAGACTATTGAATAGCAATCAATCTTATCAATCTAGGGTCAGGTATGAAGGTCAGAGCAAAGTAAAAAACTAACCTGCTTTTTTGCTCAAGAGCTTGGTTTAAAAGAGAAGCTTCTGGTGCTCGTTTTGAATTCATTAATGACAGTGACCGCAGATGACACATACAACGGACTTTTAAAGGTCAGAATAGGTCACTGACCTAAATGCCCCAGGTTAGCGCACGGTTTCTAGGGATATACCGCCCGACGTAATTCCTGACGTTTATTCGAAGAGTAAAATAGAATCAAACTTGTAGGTATTTGGTCATCTTGGCATTATAAAGGTAAAAAGTCACTGAACTCATTGTGCTTTTGCTTAGAGCAGGTATCCAGCTTCACGGTGGCTTGCATGAGCAATTCTGGGGGCACTTGAGACATCGATCTCGAGTTTGACCTTGTTTGACCTTATTTGGCCCCAAGCTCATGACCAAGGAATCGAAAATTTTGAGACAAGTGATTTACGTACAGGTCAATCTACCCCGTGAGTTTGGTGTTTCTGGCGACCTTGCTTCGAGATCTCAGGGGGGGGGGGGGTGTCAAATTGATCCTCCACCTGAGCGAAGGGTATTCAGCTGGCCACCCGAAACTCGTGTTAAACGCTACGCAGTCCTCGCTTAGCAGTGTAACACAAACTAACGTTAAACTTCGATCAGTGTTCGTGGATGCTTCGGCATGCCAACCTTGGCATGCACGACCCAGGTAGACTCTTAACTGCCCGAACCTACAACAAATGTATTTAAAGCAACCGGTGCCTAACACATCTGTGCGGAGACATTCCCATAAAATAACGCATTGGCTCGGTAATGAGTATAATCGAGGAAAGCCCAGATATAATATGCCTTTCGGTTGGCTGTATTGAAATATGCACAGCTGACTGTCAAACCATTAATTCACTTATTTGATGATAACCTAATGGGCAACCGGAACTCAATGTTCAAACGAAGGACAGGCGTAGCGATGGACAACCGCTGTCATAGCCTTTTAGTGCCGTCTTGTGTCATCCTTTCCAGCCAAGTGTGGTCTGATACCAAAGTTGCATTACGGTACATCCATGAAATGTTCTGCATCAGGACCCACGGGTCGAACTTACAGTAGGATTTCTCTACAAAGCAATCAACACGACCCCAGCACTCATTCCCTTCAAGAACACACCGCTAGAAACGCGTCGATTCCGTTCCTCGAAACAATCCACAACCGTTCACTGAGATGTGACAGGCTTGTCTTGACAATGGAAAAGGGAGTGGTCTGTGTAGTGTGCACAAGGATGACCCACGTGGCTGGTGAAGGGCACCCGTGTGGGTGAATAGTTCAAACTAAATGCAGCCATCATGCCGTTGGGACCAGTTTCTGATTGTAGGCAATAATCAGTACTCGGGGAACGGATTTCAATATGCAGTCATAGTTCTCTTCTGTCAGTCGTGTTCGAAGTACATAAAGCAACAAATATTCATTTTGCAAGCACTATGTCATTTCCAGGTATTTATGCACGCTACCGAGAATCAAACGCGTCATGGCAAAACGCGCTCGTCCAGGTACGAGCGCGTCATGGAATTCCAGTAGGGTGTCTGGTGGCCATCAGTGAGATGCAGGCATACGCAGCCTGCAAACTCCCTACTGCGTGCTCGGGTCTGACATCTTCACCCGAATGCTGTAAGGCGTTCCCTGATACGAGGGTAAATAAAGCGTCAGTGAACACGGCGCACGATATTGCGCACCGCCCGAAAAAAAACTGCGGCACGCTGTTATCTGCAACGTTGCCGTTAGATGCAGGGGTTTTGCGCAGCTTGAGACTGCTGCGTATCATTGTTCTCCTCAACCATGGATCAAAGGCGCATGGTTACTCAAGTATTCCTAGTCCGAAGCGCGCGCTTGGCGCCAACAACGAATGCGCCTAAGTCGGTTTCCCTGCGCAAATTCCGATCAGACGAGCCCATGCCAACAACACCTGCAGACGCGTTCATGGTGGCATTCACGTGCCCATGGCTGCGCTAGCCACCGTCAGCCCGTGCACCTTCCGGAGCCTTACGAGTGGTAAGCGAATGCCGCCCCAACGGTTTTTACATATCCTTGGCTTTACATTATTTAAATGTAACGGATTACCCATCCCCGACACTCAAGCGCAGCTTTGCTACCGCACATTATGCATGCGCCCAGTTCATTGATCGGCAGTAGATGACAACCACCACCCAAACCTGCCCCACCGCGGGCGCTGCAGCGCCCGCCAGGGCGCGCGGTCTGCTGCAGCGCGATGTCACGTATGTCGACCGAACGACCGCGATCCCACCGCCCGCGCAATCTGTACGCCCCCTCCCCCTCCTGATAGTGCGGCGCGCCGCCCCAGGCGGAGGCTCGGGGGGGGGGGGGGGCTGTCGTGTCGTAGCTCGAGCGCGGCCCGAACCGCCGCGGCCGACCGGCCGGCATCGCGCGGCACGCCGTCGGACATTCGGAGTCGTGCCGAGCTTAGCTCGCACGGGACTCGAATACTTGATGTGTAGTTCTAAGAGCCGCAACGGATCATGTGTTTGATTTAGTCTTTCACTGAAGACGGATGAGACCAGCTGTGTGTCGCCACGAGTGATTTCCTCAGTTTTCTCTGCAGCACCAGGTGCCCGCCGTTCCGCGGCTATTTATCGCGTGGACCCTCCCACCACGAGGCGCATCGCGCTTGATTCTGCCAAGGCGGACGAAGAGGTGCGAGCACAACGGCTACGTAAACGACCGTGCAATGGCAGGACGTATACTCAATCACACCGTCTTCAGGATTCTGAGTTATCACTGCTGCGTGCGCTGTCTCCGGACGCCTCGGACGCTGGCTCAGGGCAGCTGACGGGAGCGCCGACAGACGGCGAAAACGACTGAGAACATATCACTGACACGTGTTTAACAGCATGTCTTTCATCGACTACATCAAGATACCACACGTTCGGATACCAAAAAGTAAAACTGAACAGTATCACA